ATCTGGTTTGTTCTTCTTGCATTCCCTTTTGCCTTTTGCCTGATCATCATTCTGCTTGAATTGCTGTGAGTCTTGCAACTGTTCGCAAACTCCGTTTATTGAACTTTGTTTATGATACTAGTAAAGAAAAGGACTTCGTTTTTGGATTATCCCTGGATTGATTGTTTTGAATACTAACTGCTTTAACCATGTATGATTTGGACTGTTTGTTGGACTTTGTTTATCTGTTTACTGGAAGTAAAACTTACATTTTACGTTTCAGTGTATCTGTGTGCTGGTTGTGTGTTATTCATCACCACTCTCACTATGTTTCCCTGAGTGCACTCATTCTCCTAACAGGGAATTCTCAACAACAACAACAACAACAATAATAATAAATGAGAAAAGAGTTTAAAGTTCAGCAAAGCAAGAAAGCTAAAAGGAAGAAAAAATGTTAACATATTTGAAGAATTTGACCCGCAAGCTATTTATGAAAAACAAGAAAATTATTTTTCCCAAACAACTCAGTTACCAGGTTTCATGTGTATATATTTACTATTATCAGTAATTAGCATGGACAATCCCAAAGGCAGTGGCGTTTCATTGTTCCAGACTTAATCCTTTTATCTGCATAATGGCAGAAAAATAGAAACGGAAAGGAAGACACCAGGTGATTCCTCTCCCCTTGATGAAAACAATTTGATGGATTTGGGTGATGTATCTGCCAAAAAGGATGTACATTTGGATTCTTCATTTGTGGGCAGACATGTTAATAAAATTCAATGCCCTTTGCTAAGTTCAATTTCCTTCATTTTAAATATTATTTCTCACGGAGAAGAGAATTGATGAATTATTGTCTTTTTTTCAGGAATGCAGAAATCATCTACAATAAATTGCTAGCATAATTGTTTTTGTTATGGAAAGCAGAAAAAATATAAATTTAAATATACTGAACTATTTCTGGTTGAAAGTGTATTTAATGTTAGCAATTCTGAGCTATAATTGTTTTTGTTTCATTATGCTAAGGTTGATTTTAACAAACTCAGAAATGGATTGCATTGTGGTCTTTATGCATGACTGACCAAATGAGAATGTAGTCCTACTACTGATAAGAAAACAAACACTAAATCTTAGAGCCCATTTCTCTTCTTTATGATCAGTTCTGCAAAGGACTGAAATCGGTTATTGAACAGTGGGAATTTACCTAGAAAAAAAGATCTAATGCACACAGTAGTAATGTCTTTTCTAATACTTCAAGGACAAATGTCTAAAATTATCTCCCGCTTTTTAATATAGAAACTTCCCAGTTTCTTTCTATTTTCTATTCTTTCTATAAATACCCACTCATCTAAAGAAGCATTAATCACCTCATGGAGCCAACCTGTATCACTTTCTAGCTAGCTTTAAACAGCCAGAAGGGACACAGATCTAAAATATGTGGCCAAATTCCACAACCCTGACCACTTCATCAGGACTAAGAATTTCAAACGGTTCCAAATATTTCCAAATAACCAGGTAAGACTATGACTCAAGAAACTTCATAGGATCTTGACAGCTGAAGTCCAATTCCAAGTGAATCTAAGCAACACCTTTGTCCCAAAGTACTAGGTTAAGGAAAGATTGTCATGGAGAAAATACATCTATGTGGGCATTAAAAGTTGACTAACTTCATGGCAGATAATCATAACAAAACACTAGATTATGAGAGCACTGTTTTGAGACACACACACAAAAAAACCCCAAAGTTAAAGTGATTCCCACTGTGACATGAGGCAGAGATAACCTGGATCAAGCCCATGGTTGCCATAAGCATCCTAGATCCTACTTCTGCTGCTGGCTGCAGTTCAGCAGTTCAAATCTCACCAGGCACAAGGTGGACTCAGCCTTCCATCCTTTCGGAAGTGGGTAAAATGAGGAGCCAGATTGTTGGGGGCAATAGGCTGACTCTGTAAACTGCCTAGAGAGGGCTGTAAAGCACTGTGAAGCTGTCTAAGTGCTATTGCTATTGCTAGAAAGCCATCAGGGATTTTCAGATCTTACCCCTGAATTCATGGCCATTGCCAATGAATGAAATCTAGCAGGGAGTATCTGTGAGAAGGGGCCCTCCCACTGCATCCACCCAGGCTTCAGTAATGGCCAATCCTGTCACCTGCAATTAAATTATGAAGAAGGAAGGTTCATTACAGGCCAGTTCTGCATTAAGAAGTAAAACCGGGAAGCCAGGCCTGCTGGAACTCTGATTACTATGTCCTGTAGCAAAGCCCAGCAGGCTAGAGGTGATTACTAGACATTAAGAGCTCTGAAACTGGCTTATCAAGGTCTCCCACGATATATCTCCCTCTGCTACAATTCTTTCCTTAGCCAAACCTTTTCCTCTTTGGTTTTAGAAATGTCAACAATCACCTTCCCTACATCCAGAGATATTTCTGGAGCAGTGAAATATTATAATGTATATCAAAATACATTTCAATATGTGAAAGGCTGAGGGTGGTTCCAAAAATAGCAACACTGATACTTCTGTTTGTATAATAAACAGTTCATTATTCTTATCTCCATTCAAATATGTATGCATTCATTCATTGAGACTGCTTAACACAATTTTCCAAATTTAATTGTTAAGGAATAGATGCAAGTAAGAAATTAAATTTATCTGGTGACTTTCACAGCAGGGGTGGGATTCTACCAGTTTGCACCTATTTGCTGGTTGTTAACATTCTAAGCAGTTCGGAGAACCGGTTGTTAGAAGAAATTACTGGCCTAATCCTGTAAGGAAGGCAGGAAGGAAACATTCTGGTGTTGCTTACAGAAATTGCCTCTAGGTTAACCCTTATTACATTCTTGGCAGGACTAGACTTCCTGTCTCAGGACCGTCTCTGGAGTTTTTTCCCCTCCTTTGCTGATAATTTGTTTGTGTGGAGTGACCATTTAAAGTTACAATGCCACTGAAAAAAAAGACTTATGACCATTTTTCACACTTATGACTGTTGCAGCTTCCCCACAGTCATGAGAGGCCAGGCGAGAAGATGCGTGCCTCGATGTGAGTGATATTGAGTTGGCCACACCCAGCCAATAACATGACCACCAAGCCATGTCCACCCAGTCACATGACCACCAAGTCACATCCACCACCTAAACCACGCCCACAGAACCAGTTGTTAAACAATTTGAATCCCACCCCTGTTTCACAGCCATGTGCAAGTCTTAAAAAAGGTACACACTGAACCATTAAATCATTTCCCATCTCTGATTTAGATATCTCTAAGACTAAAGCATTCTATAGGCATAGTCTGGCTTACAGGATAAATGCATGGTGGATTAATTTAGTGATTGGTAAGCCATAGGTCTATCACTTTTTGTTTTGCTTTGCTTTGTTTAAATTAGAAACTGAAAGAGCAGTAATCAACCTTGGGTGCAAGAGTAATAAAATCATTGTCAGCCATCCCAAATTGGTCAGTTAGAAAAGAAAGACTCTAAAGTCCGTTGTTAGCAAAAATACACTTTACTAAAGCCAAGTGGTTACCGAAGCAAAGCCGGATCTGGGATTTTCGCGCCCAAAGCATATGGTTAACTTTTCCTTTGTCCCCACCCCACCCTCGATTAACTGTGAGTGTCCAATTAGGTGCTAATCAATTGTTCGGGTAACAGTCCTTGTCTTCATGGGCTGGATGGTTCTGCATTCCAAAGTGTGACCTTGGAATAGCCAGCTGTTCTCACGAGACAGCACAATGCATAGTTTCGATTCTTCTCATGCTACCCCCCATTATCCCCCCGCACATACCCCTCCTCCCCCGCTGTATGGCAAGCTAATAGCAATGATGACAGTCCTGACAATGATAAATAAATAAAGCTGTGTCTTTGAATCTAGCCAATCATATTTATTTTTCCAAATGAAATCTTGGTTGAATGTCCAGATCTTTTACATAGAAACCTATACCAACTTAGCCAAATTTCCTTCATTTTTGCAGCCTAATTTAGGTGAAGAAAATGGGTATATACAGGAGTGGGATTCTACCAGTTTGAACTGCTTCAGGCGAACTGGGTGTTAAGTTTTCATCTGGTTCGCTGAACTGGTATTTCAACTGACCGGCTGGTCCCACCCACCATGCCCCTCCCCTCCCCGGAGTCTCCACGTGGCCCATTTTCGATGCAGACAAGTGCAGGGTCTGCGCGGAGGTTCTGGGAGGGGGAAAACGGGCCTTCTGGAAGTCCAGAAACGGGCCTGTTTCTGGCTTCCAGAGGGCCTCCAGAGCCTAGGGAGGCCGTTTTCATTCTCCCCAAGGCCCAGAGGAGGCTTCTGGACCCTTGGAAAAGTGAAAAATGTATCTCCCGAAAGTCCAGAAATGGGCCTGTTTCCAGCTTTCAATGGGCCTCCAGAACCCGGCAGAGGCCTCCAGACTCCCGGGAAGGTGAAAAATGGCCCTCCCGGAATACCGGAAGTGGAAACAGGCCTGTTTCCGGCTTTCGATGGGCCTCCAGAGCCCGAGGAGGCTGTTGTCACCCTTCCAGAGGCCTGGAGGAGGCCTCTGGACCCTTGGAAAGGCAACAAATGCCCCTCCCGAAAGTTCCAGCAGGCCACGCCCACCATGGCTATGCCCACCCAGCAAGTGAACCAGTTGCTGGGATTTTTGAATCTTACCCCTGGGTATATATAGTTGTTAAACAGAAATATGCAATCTATTGCCATAAAGTAGAGATCTACCAGTAGGCCCACTTCTCTATGCTGAATTAAATCAGCATTTCATGTTTGAGGTAATATTTAATTGAACCGCTGTAGTTGTCTCAAAATTAATGTGAAGAATGGACAAGATTATATGTTTGTATATATGTATTTTGCATTATGTATATAATGGATAATAATCCCTGATTATATGTAAACAGAAACTGTTCATCCAATAAACTAGGGAAAGTCTCTTTTGAGACATTTGCCAGGCCTCTGTTCCTTCTGTGGACTCAACTGCCTCTTATCTGATCATTGTCCAGCCTGTAGCTCTTCTTCCTGTCTTCAAAAGTCATTTCCATATACCATTTGTCCTGGCACCTCAATATATTTTATTCAAATTCTGATGCCTGTAGCCTCAAATTAGGATAGGCCTAATTGTCATCTCGAAAGAAAATAAATGCCACTGTTGAAAGGCAATAACAATCTTACCTTTAAACATGATAAAAGACAATGCTGAGATCAATTTTAATGTAATTTTAAAAGGATAAACAATAATAAATGGAGACAGATCCCGATGGTTCAACACATTTTCCTTACACCGATACCCAGTTTTGTATACCTGCATTTTACAGAGAAAGAGGAGTCTCAGAGGTAAAGGCTGTTTTGCAATAAAAATAACCATGTTTTGGCAGGCTATCAAGTCGCTGCCCAATATTACTTTAAGTGTCTCTTTGTCACCATTATTTCCAACCTGTGTACTATAATAGCCCTACCTAAACAATATTTTTGTTTGATGTAAGCAAACTGAAAAAACATTATCTGTGGTTGACCCATGAAAAGCTTGAAGAAATCAATAAAAATGGAATATGGTTGTTTGCTTTTGGAACATGGTATTAAATTGCAATAGAAGTTGAAGAATAACTTCAACTTGCCTCATTACTTTCTTGCTCTTTATACACATACAGATGTTTTGCTTGGAAATCAGCCCATTGAAAGATTAGTTCTGTGCGAGATAGCAAACAGTGGGGCTATGTTAACATAAGACTAGATGGAGACAAAAAACACTGCATGGCAGAGGTGGTATTCAGCAGGTTCTGACCAGTTCTGGAGAACCGGTAGCGGACATTTTGAGTAGTTTGGAGAACCGGCAAATACCACCTCTGACTGCCACTGCTCCCATCTATTCTCTGCCTCCCGAATCCCTGCTGATCAGCTGGGTCTTCTTTTGTTGCCCTGCACAGGAGAACGGACCTGGAAAGCAGGTTAGTGGGGTGGGGAAGGAATGGGGATTTTGTAGTAACCTTCTCCCAGGAGTGGGGAGGGAATGAGGATTTTACAGTATCCTTACCCTGCCACACCCACCAAGCCATGCCGCGCCCACCAAACCACAGCACGCCCACCAGGCCACGCCCACAGTAGTAAAAAAATTTGAATCCCACCACTGCTCCATGGGTATTTTAAATAAAGGTTTTCCTTTGCATAACAAATGTAACCAAACCAGCAGCTACTCTACGTATCAAGCTTGTCTAACAAACATCTAGAATATATTGCTAAGCAATGTTTGCAGAGGTGGTATTCAGCAGGTTCTGACCAGTTCTGGAGAACTGGTAGCGGACATTTTGAGTAGTTTGGAGAACCAGTGGTAACCTTCCCCCAGGAGTGGGGAGGGAATGGAGATTTTACAGTATCCTTCCCCTGCCAAGCCCACCAAGCCACACCCACCAAGCCATGCCACACCCACTAAGCTACACCCACAGAACTGGCAGTAAAAAAAATTGAATCCCACCACTGAATATTTGGATTACAAACTGACTAGATGCACCAAAGGGAGGAATCAGACCTTGTGGTTAAGATAGATTATTTATACCACTAATGGACAGTTATTTAAAGGGCATCTTTTCTAATGTATGGCTGTGAGAGTTGGACCATAAGGAAGGCTGGGCACTAAAGAATTTGAATTGTAATATTGCAGAAGGCTGTTGAGAGTCCCTTGAACTGCAAGGAGGTCAAACCAAGGCTGGGTGGGCTGGCAAGGCTGCGGGCAGGAGGGGAAGTAGAAGGCAGCAGCCCCCCTGCCCAATACCTGGATGGCAGCCTAAACTATCTCAAAAAGATAGTTTTTAGGGTTCTTTAAAAGACACTGTTTAGATTTTTTTGAAAGGATGAGCTTTCCAGCAAGGCACAGAAACTCTCCCCTTCTCCCCACCGCCATCCACAGTCTGCCCCCAAATGTCGGAGAAGGAATTTGAGCACTTCAGGAAGCTGAGCTGGTGGGATTTCAGCATTCAGATTGGCTGTTCGGGTATGCAGCCCCACTGTAGAGATAGAGGTCAGGGAGAGGTCGCGAGCAGCACACTGCCGTATCTCCCATGCCTGCATACCTCAAACATTATCTCACCCAGTTCACACCGCCAGGATGTGGCAGAACACTGCCCCTGGCTGGTAGGTGATCTCACCTAGTTCACATCACCATTTCCTGGCTTGTATGCTCTTAAGATTGGTGAAGAGAATCCACCAATGCAAATGCTGTTTCTGCATTACCCTTTTCTGCTTGTATAAACTGTATAAAAAGCAATAAACGCTGCACAGGCAGTCAGACATCTTTGCACCCTGCAAATGACTGGTCATTGACACCATCCCCCCACTCTGCAAATTGGCTGGGGACAAGTGTCCCTCAGCAAATTGCCCAGGATGAGGGGTAGGATGGGGGGGAGCAATGGTGGACCAGTGGTGGAGCGCCAGTGGAGAATCAGTGGATGAACACTCATAGTGGTCAATTTTCCTAGACTAGATAGATAGATAGAAAGATAGATAGATAGAAAGAAAGAAAGAAAGATAGATAGATAGATAGATAGATAGATAGATAGATAGATAGATAGATAGATAGATAGATAGATAGATAGATAAGCCATGGTGGTACAGTGTTGAGAATGCAGTATTGCAGGCTAGTCAACTGCCAGCAGTTTGATCCTGACCGGCTCAAGGTTGACTCAGTCTTCCATCTTTCCGAGGTCGATAAAAGGAGGACACAGTTTGTTGGGGACAATAAACTGTAAACTGCTTAGAGAGGGTTGTAAAGTGCTATGAATCTATCTATATAAAAGCAAAATACCACTCATGCATCATCACAAAATCTCCAGAACCATAAAGCCTACATGCTTGAATTTTGGCACGTATGTTCCTCTTGCCTTCTAGGTGTTCACTAAGAAAGGATTTTTCGAAATGACCATCAGAGCATTAATATTTCATATATTATTATTAACACGCTCTGATGCTAAGGAGTTCTACTTCTCCCTCCCCACCTGAAAAGAAATCTGTTCCAAATGCAAACCACAAGCAGAGGAGAAGAGTTTCAGTTTCAGTTTTAGTTACACAGCACCAAGCAGCTTTAGTACAGAACAGTTGAGGTAAGCCACGCCCAGGCTCCTTGCTGTCTCCTTGCTCACACAGCAAATACTGTTTCAGTTTCCAAACAGCCCTCAACTCTCTCACACACTGACAGGACGCTAGTCAGATGAATATCAATGGATGTTGGTAGGCAGAGGCAGATTTTTCCCCCCTTATTTTGCTTCCCCAAAACTAAACCCGACCACATAGTTTCGTAGCGAAGCACAGGTATCGAGGTAGGCGGTATATAAATCTTATTCCTATTCCTATTCCTATTGCTAGGCAGACAGGCAGATAGATCATTATATTTGTAGAAATACTCTTAAGTTCTGTTAGCATGTGCCAGTAGGAAAGCCACAGATATGCCTCCTGAAAGTTATTATGGATAGATGCACATCTATTGAATTTCTGACTGCATAAATATTGGAACTGTTGAGAATAATAACCTTTGTGTCAATATTTGGCAGCACTCCATCAAATTATTTCCAGGGGGGAAAATACTACTTTAATTTATATTAATTTCTCAGGAATTAACTAAGAAACACGGGATGTGATGAACCATAAAATAGAATTTACTATTGAACCTTCATACCACTGACATGATCACAATAGGCTGACAAAAAAATTTGCAGTTAATTTAATGAAGAAAAGTAATGGGGATTAAAATGGAATCAAAAGCATATTCTGCAAATATCATTCCTATGTGTTCAATTAATTCTAATGATTCTGGACAACTATATTAAACTACATTTAATGGTAACCGATTGCAAGAGAAAATAAAATCTGATTGGTCTTGTTGTAAACATTTTCATTACAATCGTAGGCTTTACATAATTGTTCAGCTGGACCATTATATCATAATCAGATCAGACACAAATTGGCATTATGGAAAATTCAACTTTTAAACCTCTTACTACAGATGAAAGGAGCACCTGTTTCAGTGTCACAAAATGGTCCATATAGACTTTTTTTTTCTCTTTGAGCTCTGCTCACCCAAAAATAATTCTTGAGTTCAATTGTGCAGATAAATCCCTCAAGCCTTTCACATGTAAACATATAGGTGTGGCAGCAAACAAAGCAACAAAGTCAAAACTCCCAAAGGAGATTTGGAGGACTATTTCTTGAATAGATGTTCTTTATATTACATGGCAAAATGTGTTCAAAGTAGACAATAGCCAAAGATAGAAAACTCATTATCTCTGTACTGAGGCTTTTCTCCCAGGGAACATTTAGGGATATACTTCCTTGGCAACCCCTGGGAGAAGTGTGTGTGTGTGGGGGGGGACACCCAACCCCTGCTATCATAGAGAATTTCGTGAGTCGCCCCCCCAATAATTTTGGAGATGCCTAGAATAAATTCTAGAGATCCAATCTGGTGTAGTGGTTAAGGCAACGGACTAGAAACCGGGACACTGTGTGTTCTATTCCCACCTTAGGCACAAAGCCAGCTTGGTAACATTTGACCAGAGGCGTGGTATTCAGCAGGTTCTGATCAGTTCTGGAGAACCGGTACTAGAAATTTTGAGTAGTTCAGAGAACCGGCAAATACCACCTCTGACTGGAGATTTTACAGTCTCCTTCCCCTGCCACGCCCACCAAGCCAGGCCCACATAACCGGTAGTAAAAAAATTTGAATCCCATCACTGCCTTTGATCGGTCATTGTTTCTCAGCCCTAAGAAGGAGACAGTGGCAAACCACTTCTGAAATGGTGCCAGGATCAATACTGACTCAAAGGCACACAAACACACACACACACAGAGAGAGAAAAGGAGAGAGAGAAAGAGCAAGAGAGAAAGAAAGAAAGAAAGAAAGAAAGAAAGAAAGAAAGAAAGAAAGAATTCTGCCTGCAAGCAAAAAGATGCTAAGCATTGCTTGAAGGAGCAATATACAAGAATGTTCTTTGTAACTACAACTGTTTCCAAAATATTTCTACTAAGGGAAACTGAAGAAGCTACAAGTTATGGATTCCATTCCTTCACCCTAGCAATTAGTACACAGAATCGAAAACCAGAACAGCTGACAAATCAACTCTCAGCTGTATTTGTGAATTCTAATCCTTCCCCTAGGACCACACTGTTTTTTTTTTTTTTACTAGAAACATTATGGTTCCTCTTTCCTGTCCAAGGGAAAGAAATTAATCCTTTGTGTGACCTATGTATTTCAGAGAGGAAAGTGCTGCCAAAGACTTGCTCCATCCTACCAAAGCTCCATGACTACATTATTATTTATTCATATCAGAAGCATAATTATTAAAATTTTATGCGCAGGTATAAGTACAAATGTAAGAACAAAACATTTAAATGAATAAAACCCTAAGTTAGGTGTTGCTTGCCCAGAAGCATGCAACATCGATTGCATTCTGTTGCATTATCATAAGGTTCTCAAGATTACATTGTGAGGTTGCCTGCAAATCTCTATATTCACATTAAGCAGAAGTCACCAAATATCTCCATTTATTTGTGGTACGTCTTGATCTTGCTGTACCTGTGCACAGTCTATTTAGTGATTCCCAAACTTCCCAGGTCTCATCATGGCCAGGTGCCAGTTCTTCTGCAGGTTCCATCCAAAATTGATCTTTTGTAGCTTTCCAAAAGTTCACTCTATTTCTAAATTCATTAAAGTCTTCCATCAATCTCGGGAAGTTTTCCCTAGATTTTAAACTCTAAGGAGCTGGTTGGAAGCCGTAGGGAAGATACGGTTTGGAGGTTAATGATTTAAGCCTCTCCTTATATGCTGCTACTTCTCTGCGAATGGCAGGGGAAGGCGATACCGGCTAAATGGCAATCCTGGTCTAGGAAGGTAGATTTCAGGTATCCAGTGATTATTCTACACATTTCATTTAGGGCAATATCTATTTGCCCAGTGTGTGCCAATTTATACCACAAGAGGCAAGCAGAATGGCAGAGAGCTAATGCTGTAGTTTTGAAGACCTGTGATTTGGCTCCGCAGGAAGAGCTTGTCAGTTTCTGGAGGATGTTGTTTCTTCCACTAACTTTCAGTTTAGTATTGATACAGTGCTGTTTATATGTTGGAGCCCTATCTAGAGTTACACCTAGGTGTTTGGGGTTTGGGCACTGTTCCAGTAGCACACTTTTCTGAGTGATTTGTAGCTTCCTGGCTGCTGCCTTGCTACTAATGTAGATAGGGAGCGTCACATTTTTCAGCTTTCAATTTCCAAACATTAGGGGTGCTTAAAAGTTGTGACATGCCTTGGGGATTGTAAATATATTTTGATTACTTTAATATAATTTGGATGTGCTTAGTAAGTAATGACATAAATATCATAACTTCTTAACATTTTGTTTGTTTCATTGTGGTAGGCACCTATTTGAGTTGCTGCCTTCAGAGCTTATGGAGGCTGGCAGCAGTGGTGCAGAGGACCCCGAAGAGCCTGTGCCCAGTGCATGTGCGCGCAGGGCTACTCGAAGGAAAGAGCAGCTGCAGCAGCACGGGTGACTCAAAAGTAAGGCTGCAAGGTGATGGCCTCTCCCTTAAGGGATAAAAGCCAGCCCTCAGAGGTGGGATTCTTTGTAGGAAGCAAAGAAGTTCTTGTACTTCATGTCTTGTGGAAGTTCAGGCTATCCTGCTTTGGGTTTGGAGACTTTTGAATTTAATATTTCCTTGCAATTTAATCTAGTGTTCTTGGCAGTCTTGCACAACCTTGGCAAGGCTTGTTCTTATCTGGGACAATTAGTTTTAATAGCGTTTTTAGTGCGAGTGAACGGAATTCACAGAGAAGCATTAAAAAGGTTTTGCTTTTATCTCTGTTTGGTATTTGTTTGCTTGGAACGAGGCTTGGGTCAGAACATTTTCAGGGCAGAAACCAGCCTGCTGTGGTATGAGATGAAAATATACAGCAGGGCTGTCAAACTCGTGGCCCGCAGGCCAGATGAATCCTGTGCTGGTCCCGCCCACGCCCAGTTTTGCAAAGGGGGGAAAAGTCACGTTACGATACGTCATGTGATGACACCATAACAATGTGAATTTGACACCCCTGATCTACAGCTACTATAAGGTGAGCCGTGGTGGTGCAGTGGTTAGAATGCAGTACTGCAGTCTAACTCACTGCTCACTCTAGGACAGGGGTGTCAAACTGGCGGTCCATGGGCCGGACACATCATGTGCAGGCCACACCCACCCCAGCTCCACAAAGAAAAAAAATGTCATGATACATCATGTGACGTCACGTGACGTGATCGAATTTGACACCTGTGCTCTAGGAGTTCAATTCTGAGTGCTCAGGGTTGACGCATCCTTCCATCCTTTCGAAGTCGGTAAAATGAGAACCAGATTGTGTGGGGCAATATGCTAACTCTGTAAACCACTTAGAGATGGCTGTAAAGCACTACGAAGGAATATATAAGTCTAAGTGCTATTGCTATTCCAAAGATTTTATAGGTATGGCATAGAAGAGGGATTGGGTGGTAACTCTTAGCGTTGTTGGCTTATTGTTGGCCTATTTTCATTGTTAATTGCACACAGATCATAGGTGATGGAAGGCAAAGGGACAAAGAATACAAAGACAACTTCTCCCATTTTTTGGTGTTCAACTGCAACTGACTTATTGGAAACAAGTGATTAGTAGCATCAAGTAACAATGGCAGAACTCACCCTTATTCAAGCATCCTTCTACCTGTGGTCTCTTATGCAGGATCTAGCTTCAACTCTTGCTGGAAATTAGTTCCTTTACCCATATGGACATAATCAGACATTATTAAGCCAACATTAATATTATTAAATTGAATTATATTAATATTTGTAATATAGTTGTACAAATTCATTAATTCTTTCCACTTGGGGAGAGGTTGTCCATATTTATGTTTATGTTTCTCTTTTCTTTGGCTTATGTTTTGATTTAGTTGTATTTAAGCAGTAAATAAAAATGAACTTTTATCACAGAGATTCCTCCATAAAAAAAATTACATCAGGGACCAGGAAATGGAGGGTAAAGTTGGGTATGAAGTTCCCCCTTTTCTCCACTCCTACCCATTCCAACACATTGTAAGATACATTCAGAAATTAGATACTGCCTCTGAGCACTACTGTTAAATCCATCACTATAGCTAACATCTAAATCCAATATTACATAGCATCTCTTTCAGTTTCCTAGTGACAAACATTAAAGGCAAGTGCCTTCAACAAACTGCAAGTCCAAGCTAACAAATATCTCAAACGTGAGCTCAACAAAAAATATAGATAAATGCTGGGTCTACTGTAGAACAATATTTTCCAACTTTGGCAACTCTCAGAATTCCCCACTGAGAATTAAAGTCCACACATTTTCAGGTTGCTGATGTTGAGGAACGTGGCCGTAGACTACTTTCTGTTTAAGAATGTGTATACCATTTGTTTATAAGATTTTGATGGCAGGAGCAAATGCCGACATTTTTAGATCAAGAACCTTGTCCAAACTGGAGTTCGTTTTTGCCAAACCTCTCCATTTTACACAGAGGAACTTCATCTTGTTGTTGCAGAAGGATTATAAACTATAATCTCACCATGCCTTTATGCTTGTAGAGATAGCGAATGATTAAAAAAAAAAAAAACAAATTACCGGGATGAAGAAAGAAAAAATCAGTATTGCAGCTCTTTTCCTTCTGACAAAAGAGCTGAGATATATTGCTTATGTGAAGCCCTAGAGGGCAGTAAAGCAACTCCAATGCACACCAAGTCGATTTCTGCCAAAGGGGAAAAAATTACTTCTTAGTGAAAATTAATTCATGATCTCTCTCTTTCCTTCTCTCTCTCTCTCTCTCTCTCTCTTTTGCCACCCCCCCAACCTCATTAAAAGTATTCAGTGGCACAGTGTGATTCACCACTTCAGTCCATTTGCTGCAAATAGCTAAATATACCCTAAAAGATGCTAACTGAAGCATATTAACAAAGTTATCAGTTTGGTCCTAAAGAGAAATCTGTTCAATGCGAATAGGAAAATTTAACAAAATCCCCCATCTATAAACTACAAGCTGTTCTCTGCATGGGACATTATTTAAATAAAACACTACCACAAGATCAGAACAATCACCTTAAACAATATGCAATCGACTAGTACAATCTTGTTTCTGTCAAATCAAAATGCTGTTCTGCTGCTGAAACAAAGCAGGCCTATTCCTACCAGGTCTAAGGACAAATGACCGCAAAAACCATATGCAGCATAAATGCAGCAGATATTTAAAAGCAAACGCTGTAACACTGCACAACTGGTTTGAGACAAATGAATTAAGCATTTGTTACTTGACAACTGGTAAATAGGTCATGATAATAAGTGGTAGATTTTTACATTAGTCACTCATAGGATCTCGATCTATTCCACCATTTCTTCCACCTGAGAAATAGTAAACTAAAAGACCCAGGTAATTCAAGAATTCATCATTCTTCAATTCTCAGCATTCACTCAACCTGTTTTCCTGCAGGAAAAACCTGGGCCTTAGGGGAGTTTAAGTCAAAAAAATATCTGGGAGCACCGACTTAGAAAAGGCAGATTTTACCTAATCTGTCATTTTAGCTAATCCAGTTAATCCTTATACAGTTTATAGTTTGATAAGCATGCAATTATATCTTATTAAATAGGCTGAAATTTAGATTAACTGCTCCACCGAGTTGACCAAGATTTACATAAAGCAATTGTAGGAAGTTAGCACCCACCCCTTTCCTAGAAAAATGAAATATCCTAGGAAATATTAAAAAGGCAGAATATTTCCTCTAAAAAGAATAGAAACTCAAAAGCAGAAACTCACCTCAGAAGCAGAAACTTACCCCCACCTTTGTTAATGAGGGGGGGGGGCATTAAGGCCTGGGCCAGAATACTTTACATAACAAAGATCTCCAGGTAAACCTATAGCAATTGCCAAAAGCCCTTTTCAGTGCATCATCATCCAGCAAGGCTCAACCAAGCCTGGAACTCAGGACAGCCTACAGAGTTGCCGCTGCATGGCCCCATGGGAGTCTGACAACCAATCAGAATACAAGCTCCAATTCAAATCCCAACAAAGGTTATAAAACCCAGGCACTCTCATCACCTCAGCCCCTTCCTTCTCTTTTCCTTCACCTTGGAGCATGTGATCATCCTTCTTTGGAGCTTCAAGCCATGTGGTCCTGCTGTCTACCATTAAACCACCTTCCAAACAGCCTCCATGTTTCCAGTGTCTTTTTCCCCATTTGGAAATGAACCCAGAAGGATAATTCTTTCAACACAACCTGAAGAAATACAGTAATTCAGAAGTAACTCAGAAGACCATTGTTGCTCTTCTTGCATGCTGCATGCTAGAAGCATGTTTTGGCATGTTGCATCTTCTAGCATGTTGCATGATACACATTGAGAAGCTGACAAGAGGCCAACTCTGCCCATCTAAGCAGCAACTCAGCTGAGAGGCAGCCTGGCAGCCTAGTTAAGAAGCCACTCAGCAGTCCAGCTGAGAGGTTTCCCAGTGGCCCAGCTGATAAGCAGCCCAGTCACTCAACTGAGAGTTGGCCTGGCAGCTCAGCTGAGAGGCAGAGAGGTAGCCTGGCGGCCTGGCTGAGAGGCGGCCCAGAGGCCACCTGGGAGGCGACCCAGTGTGGCCCACTTGAAAGGTAGCCTGGCAGCCCAGTGACCCCGTCTGGCATTTCAGGCGCCAGATATTCTAGGATGGGGGTTGAGGCAGCTGGAGGCCAATGGAGTGGAAGTGGCTCGGTGCAAATGGAGGCCAGCTGAGCAGCAGTGGAACAGAAATGGGTAGCAGCTGATCAGCAGCTGAGAGTAGCACGAGGGATCAGCTGAGCAGCAGCAGCAGCAGAGAGCTAAGTCGGAGCAGAGCATCCAGAGCAGTGGCCAGGCAACCAAAGGACAAGAAAGAGGGAGAAAAGAGGGATAAGTACAAAACACTTCTAGACAGGGAGGAAAGGGATAATTTTTCAAGGCCAGGAACAGAGGGCTAAGAGCAAAGCATCTCCCAGAAAGGATTTCATCCAAAAAGAACTGCGTAAAAAAGTGCACACTTTTACATGCTTCATGTTTTTAAAATGAACTTCTAGAATTAAAAAATAATAATTAGAATTTTTCCCTAAATCTGTGGTTAAATCTTTTGCATTTTAAACATTTATAAACTTTGAACATTTTTTTTTATTTAAAAAGAAAACTTTATTAGAGATTAAAAAAGAAAAACACTATGTACAGTACAAAGGCCCTGTATATGAACCTTTAGAGGAAGACTGATAGAAACATGTGATTCATAGAAGGAAACAACAACCAAAAACTATGGCGCTGCTGTCTAGTCTGGCTCTTTTGGAGCTGAGCAATCGATTTCAGAGTCTCCCCCTGGAAGAAAGCATGCAGACAGAAAAGAGGCATCTTCAAGTGCTCCTGTGAAAGGAAAAGAAGTACCTCAGACTTCCTTAGGCAAAAAAAAAAGGCAAGTGTTGGTAATAGGAGATTCAATTCTCAGGGGAAGAGAAACAGCTATCTGTAGATTAGACATTAAATCTAAGGAAGTATGATGTCTCCCAGGAGCAAAAATAAAAAATGTGACTAAAATAATCAAGCCCACAGATTGCTACCCATTTCTTCTTCACATAGGGATGAAAGACACAACAATGAATCTGAAAACAATATCGAGAAATTAGGAGCAGTTAGACAAGAAAGTTAAGAATTTAGGAACATATGTGGTGTTTTCATTTATACTTCCAAAGAAAGGTCAACATCCAATGAGGTAACAAAGAATTTTAGAAATGAATCACTGGCTTAAGAGTTGGTGCTGCCAAAAGAACTTCAGATTCCTAAGCCATTATCTGCGTTACTTTACCTACAGTATATTACCACTTTAAATATAAACCAGCAGTGTGTGGCAGCAGCCAAAAACCCCAATGTACTCCTCGGATGCATTAACAGAGGGATAGGCTCAAGTTCATGTGAAGTATTAGTACCGCTTGATAAAGCCTTAGTAAGACCACACTTGGAATGCTGCATCCAGTTTTGATCACCATATTATAAAAAGATGTTGAGATTCTGGAAAGAGTGCAGAAAAGAACAACAAAAAATATTGGTGGCTGAAGGCTAAAATACATGAAGAACTCTGGCAGGAATTGGCTGTGTCTAGTGAAAAGAGGGACTAGGGTTGACATGATAGTAGTGTTCCAATATTTGAGGGCCTGCCACAAAGAAGAAGGGACAACCTATTTTCCAAACCAACGGAAAGCAAGACAAGAAACAACAGATGGAAACAAATCAAGGAGAGGAGGAACTTAGACCTAAAGACAAATTTCCCAACAGTGGGAACAATTAACCAATGGAATGGCTTGCCTTCAGAAGTTGTGGGTGCTCCATCACTTTAAGAAGAGACTGGACAGCCACTTGTCTGGAATGGTATAGGACAGAGGGTGTCAAACTCGCAGCCCGGATGTGTCATGTGGTCGCCACGCCCATGCCCAATTTAGCAAAGGTGGGAAAAGACACATGACGATGCCATGACAATGTGAGTTTGATACCCACAGTATAGGGTCTCCTGCTTGAGCAGGGGTTTGTACTAGAAGACCTATAAGATATCTTCCATCTCTGTTATTCTATTGTTCTGTAAGTTCCATAGAATTCAGTGAGACTTGTTACTAGGCAAGTTATATGAGATGGAAATCCTTATGTATATTTAATACATAAAAGCTGTGACTCATTTAGGACTATGTTAGATAGGATGAAGTGGATGATGAGTTTTTGGGTGCATGACTTGCTGAGCACAACATCATCTATCAGATCTCAAATAGGTATATATTTGTATGAAATGCAAATCAATATAATGATTTGTATTTTTTAAAAAATTAAATCCAAATGGGATTTACTGCTGACTTGAAGGAGTCATCATGATCAATCTTATTTTTTCCCAAATGTTTGGAAATTTTATAGAGTCAGGAGTAAAGTTTTGGTTTGCTTCCAATGTTTGTCAGCATCTGTCTTGAAGGCTGAAAAACTTTGAAACTACCCAAACAGTAACAAAAGTGCAATATTCTTGAATGCATAGAACCACAAAAAACCATGTCCAACTAAAACGATCTGGGGCAAATTTAAAAGTGTTTTACCTTTGGCCTTTTGGCAATACTGTTCTCCTTCTCAGACTGGCTATCTTAAATCCTCGACAAGAATTATTGTAAATATGCTAATGGAAGACCATTTTGTGATAAATAGGAAATACTGAAAAAATGCCCCCCAAAATGAATATATAGAAGATGCATATGTATGTATGTATGTATGTTTGTTTGTATGTATGTATGTAT